ATTTATCTCAATTTGTTCATAGCTATCTATCTATCTTAGTCCATTTATATCTATCTATCTATCTATCTATCTATCTATCTCAATCTGTTCATATCTATCTATCTATCTATCTATCTATCTATCTATCTGAGTCCATTCATATCTATCTATCTATCTATCTATCTCAATCTGTTCATATCTATCTATCTATCTATCTATCTATCTATCTTAGTCCACTCATATCTATCTATCTATCTCAATCTGTTCATATCTATCTATCTATCTATCTATCTATCTATCTATCTATCTTAGTCCACTCATATCTATCTATCTATCTCAATCTGTTCATATCTATCTATCTATCTATCTATCTATCTATCTATCTATCTTAGTCCACTCATATCTATCTATCTCAATCTGTTCATATCTATCTATCTATCTATCTATCTATCTATCTATTAATCTATCTATCTCAGTCTGTTCATATCTATCTATTTATCTTTCTTTGTCTGCTCAAATCTCTCTCTATCTGTGTTCATATCTATCTCAGTGTTCATATTTATCTCAATTTGTTCAAAGCTATCTATCTATCTATCTATTAATCTATCTATCTCAGTCTGTTCATATCTATCTATTTATCTTTCTTTGTCTGCTCAAATCTCTCTCTACCTGTGTTCATATCTATCTCAGTGTTCATATTTATCTCAATTTGTTCATAGCTATCTATTTATCTTAGTCCATTCATATCTATCTATCTATCTATCTATCTATCTATCTATCTATCTATCTATCTAATTTGTTCAAAGCTATCTATCTATATATCTATCTATCTCAGTCTGTTCATATCTATCTATTTTAGTTTGCTCATATCTCTCTTTATCTATCCGTGTTAATATCTATATCACTGTTCATATTTATCTCAGTTTGTTCATATCTATCTATCTATCTATCTATCTATCTATCTATCTATCTATCTATCTATCTATGTCCCTTAGTATCTTTTTATTCATCTCGAATGACATCTCTGAATATTTCAACCTAGACATCATTATACGTACCTCCCTCGATACTGTAAACTTAAACTATTGACTCGCTAGTATTAAGCCTAATTACCCTGTATTCATATTCTCCCTATCAAATGCTAAAATGTTCTTAATTTTTATTCTTCCTTTTTTATTATTTTCATTTTTTGAGGCTCTTCTCAAATAAGTGAGTGAATCTAACAAAGTTAAATGTATATGTTTTCTTAATTTTCATTGGCCTTAAGATTTTGTGTATGTCTATAAAATTATCACCTTCCAAAATTATACTTTATATTCATTGTTTAAAAACATGGAATAAAAGGTAGAGTTAGTTTAAACTGACGCCAGGAGGATATGGCTTTAGTACGCTTAAAATCACTTCATTTCGTTAATGTGTTATCAGAAATTTGTATAGTGTTCTTCGAAGTTCCAATCTGTTTTAAACAAGGAAGTCATCTCCAAGGAGACATTTGTTACCACTTTCTGTTTATTCAAAACGAGACCTTCCTTTAAAAAAAAAAAAGAGAAAAAGAAAAATTAGAAAATTACAGCTATCTGTTTCGTGTGTTCCATTAGTTTAGCATTGATCTTCACGACAACTACAAGGAAACGAAGAAGGGCAAAAGTAAAACGATATTTGACGTGGAAGATTATTCCAACGAATTCTTTTGCACACTTGGCAGTGCTATTTCCTCGTGCCAATTTTTTTCCCGCTGCCTGCTGGATTGAATAACGGACGTTCTTTGGATTCTTGGATTTTATTCTTTATTTGTTGAGGTAGGAAAATAAATAAACATATATGAATGACTCCAGTATGGTTTGGTTTCGATGATTTTATTTACCGGTATATCAGCTTAGAATATCTCCAAAACTTCGTGAATTGCGGACACCGTTTTTATTTGTTCAAAAGACCAACGAATCAGATTCAAAGAGAAAGGTTTCGTGACGTGTGGTTCTGAAGTTCCACAGAGTTGGTGATCTGAAGAACTCAATTTTCGGTCTGAATTGGAATTTCGGGCCAATGTAGACTTTCGGCCCAAATCAGTCTTTGAGGAATACAGTTATTTTATCAAAATTAGCATTTCATTATTTTTTTAAATTTTTTTTTTTTAATGCCGAAATCTGAATTTTTTATCGCAACTGTATGCCTTCAACTCCAGATAAAATGCATTGTGGGTAATATCATTATAAAAATGTATTTTTATACATTTTTGTTTGTTTCGTTTTTTCATAGTTTCATAATGTTTTGTTTTTGGTTGGGGGAGGGCCTAACAAGTGCTACCACCTCACCCCAAGTCAGGGCTGACCTGAGAACAACAGCAATAAGAGATGTTTCCACCCTGAAAACTTCCAATCTTCCAATCAGAGGTCTTGCTGCCGGATGTAGTTTATCGTCATATCCAGGACTACTTCGTTTGGTAGATCCTGATATGAAGCCTCTCTCTCTCTCTTTCTCTCTCTCTCTCTCTCTCTCTCTCTCTCTCTCTCTCTCTAAATAAATAAATAAATAAATATGTGTGTGTGTGTGGAAAATATATAGAAAATAGGAAAGAACTCGTTAGGTGAATAATCCAAAATTCTTTAGTATTTTTGTTATTATTTTTAAAAAATAGTGCTCGATAAAAAAGTAGAGCATAAATATAATTATTTATTTAAAAATATGATTCCAACATGCTACATAAGAGTTCTCATGTTTCAAAACAAGAGCCGACAACTTCAATATAATTATTTGAATTAAATTGAATTAATGTAAGCTCTGTTCTATCTTCAAACGAATTTTTTTTGGAATAACTTATTTCTGAAATTTACGTGTTTTAATAGCATATTCATTATTGAAATCAAAATTTCTATGGTAACGGCTAGAGCAATTGTTTAAATAAAAAGGGGTGTAAGGTGTTAATAATTTGTATCAGTATAAAGTTACATTCACAGATGTCAAGTCAGGTAAGGTTGGGGTGTCTTAATTTAAAACATTAACACCTTACACTTATATATATATATTGCTGTTTTTTGGCACAAAGTTATAGGCCAATATAGTTAAAGGTGGAATTAAATACGAGTTCATGTCTAATCCTAACTCCCAGTTTGATATTTCTGCATATTTCCCTCTAATACAGGGTGTGGCAAAAATGCCCCCTACATATACCACCCAGAAATAGCTCCCACAATTTAAGCTATCACCTGTGTGGTGCTAGTGCACTTAGGTAAGTCCCCATCGAGCATATGTCTTACCATTATGAGCGGGGTATTTTTCCAGCACTCTTTAGCTGATGTTTTGCAGTGTAGAGTCTTAAATTTTGTGATGAAGTACCAGATTAAGTCATAAATAATTTCCCTTCACGCTTATCAGTTTTATTCTTCAACAAATCGCGTACAAGTAAATTTTTTTCAATTATGCATTCACTATTATTTGCAACGATTTGTTACCACTTGTCTGGCGGCTCTCCGATAGAATTTTTGTAGAATTCCACAGGTTTTCATGTGAAAAAAGTTTTCGTCGAATTTTTGAATCTGGTTTTCATTTGATAATTTTTTCGCCATCTGTTGAAACTTGACTAATGCATGGAATAATAATACAACACAAAATGTACTTAGAACAAAATGTATTGAAACAAGAAAGTGTACACAATATTTACATATAGTCTTTTGTATATTCTTGGGAAGACCGTTCCTGGAGAATGTGTTGACTTAGTCGCAGTCGGGTAGAGTCTCTGGACTGAATCTCTTGATTCCTCCTATCCATCCGTGTCGTACATACCGTCGTCTACCAAACAGCTTTTTCTAGATAATTAAATTGTTGTACTTTGATTTCAGTACCACCAATTCGTAATTTGCATATTGGGCTGTTCCTTTTGCTAACAACCATGCATTCAGTTTTTCCTTTTGTCGTATGAAAATTTAGGACCTAAATAGATTTCTATAGGGTGAGATTGGCTAAATTGTCGCCATTTTATATTTTTAATTTCGCGCATGCGCGTTGTTTGTTTTTAATTTTCTCGACTGCACGGTATAGTATGGTCAGTTGGGCACCATCTGTGAGAAAAAAACATGACGCAAATCAATCTGCCAGAAACAGATTGCTGTACTACTTGCCATTCGCGGTGGAATTCCAATACGAACATTTCAGAGTATTTGGATGTCAATCTGAGGACAGTGCAGAAGATTCAGAAAGAGTTGGATGAGTCTAATGGTGATTACGAAGGTGTTTGGTTTGATCACTAATGATGGCGACATTATGCCTCCATTCATCTTCCCACAGTGCCCCAGATTCAACACGGAGGTCTGCGTCAAGTGCCTTGGGGTGGTAGTGTTGGCCTGAATCAAGAGAGTGGTTACTGGAAGACCCTATGTCTGGCAATAGAATTCTGCATCATACTGAACAAGCAAGAAAACCCAGTCATGGCTGTTAGACAATTTCTGCAATAATATCATCTCTTACATCTGGCCATCTTCTTCCTAGACTGCAGCCCGCTTGATTATTATGTATGAGCGAGAGAACAACAAAACTTCCTGCAACTGTAGGCAAGGATTATGGCAGCATTCACCAACTTGAACAAGGAGACCGTCCAGAAGTTGAAGTCAATGGCGATTTTATTGAATAAATTTACTCTTTAGTATTTGAATATAAGTTTGTGGAATTTTGGCAAATCAATCTCTTAGAATGAGATGTCAGTTTGCGTAAATTAGACGACAATTTATCCATCGCAACATGTACCTTGTTGGCGAAGTCTATAGTAAGTCGACTCCATGTTGAATGAACTGATAACGGGACCAGTTTAGTTGAACCTTCTGCCGATGTCTTAATATTTCGATTCACACCAACAAATATGATTTGCCCCAGAGATAGCAAAGCGTTTGGAATGTCCATAAATTAGAAACTGTAAAAACAACCTTTCTTTCTTTCTTCCTTCCTTCCTTCCTTTATTTATTTATTTTTCTTTATTTATCTATTTTTCGCCGGCAACAAACTTTGCATATTTGCGGTTTTGGATTACCGTACAAAACGGAATAAAAACGTGCCGCCGAAATGAATAGGGTTAAAAAATGTCAAAGACAGACCGCACGCAGCGATTGCCAGATACACACTGTGCAGCGATCTGAGTTACATGCAATTTAATGCAAGAGGTACCACCGTGTGGAAGCCGGCAGGCGCACAGTGGTTTGCAAACAGATGAACCAAATTGATCTTGCTCGTTCCACACGCAAGATTCTGCAGTCCTCAAGATAGCAGCATGATCGTTAGATCCGAAACACTACAGCTAAGCTTCCTAATCGATTGTGGATTTCAAAACTCGTACGCGATTGGAAAGCTTAGTATTTTTGTGTCCTGTTTTCTCTTTCTGTTTTATTCTTTCAAAGATTCTTCTGTGTGTTATTTTAGCCCTTTTATATGATATGTCTAGCATGTCGCAACTGTTTAAATTGCATTGGAAACTTTGAAAAAACGTTGTCCTTGTGATAAACTTTTAGCAAACGAAACCCTAAATGGCCATTGAATAAAGATATTCATCCTTACAATTTTATGCTACATAGAGAGATAGGAACACATTGAAATAGATGTGAACAAGCATAGATAGATAGATAGATATAAACTGAGATAGATAGATAGATAGATAGATAGATAGATAGACAGACATGAACATAGATAGATATGAACAAAGATAGATAGTAGGCAGATTGATTATAAACAAAGAAATACGAGCATATACTGAGATACATAGATATGAACAGAGATAGATAGATAGATAGATAGATAGATAGATGAGAATATACTGAGATAGAGAGATAGATAGAGAGAGAGAGAGAGGTGTGAACAGAGATAGATATAAAAAATGTCGTCGATATATACACACACATTAAAAGTTTTCTGGGACTTTATACATGCTCCTTCCGACGAGTCACCAAACGCTCTGTCTCCGATACTGAAGATTCGTTTTTCTTGAATAGTGATTTTCCAAGCGTAGCTTAGATGTGACACAAGGCCGAAAGTATGAAGCACCTAATAAGGTTCGAACTCACTACTCAGTCGTAATTGTTCTAACGAGACAAGCTTGCTAACCTCGAGGTGCCCTCTCCCTTGTTGAATATACCACATTTGAATCTTTCTTTCCTTCTTTCGCTTTCTCTGTCTCTTACACTGTCGGAGCATATATATATATGTGTGTGTGTGTGTGTGTGTGCGTGTATGAGAGAGAGAGAGTGAAAGAACGTGTTTTGAGAATACAGTAAGTCATTTTACCATAATTTTCTTTATATATATATATAGTCGTCCGCGTGTGTGTATCTTTGAACTTTGAACTTCCCCCAAATCTCAAGCGACTTGTGTAAATCATGTTCAACTGGTACAAGAATTGCGAGTGATTTTAACTCCCCGCGCTGTTTTAAACCAATTAAATGCATTAAATTTAATTTTAAGGGACCAATCTTTACATTAGGGACTATAACATAAGTTTTGTCAGACAAGATGTTGTTCAAGGTGGTCCAAAATCAATTCAGAGGGAATCTCTCAGATAAATGGTTACTTTAATCTATTCATCATTTACTACTGGTGAAAAGCAAATGTCGCAATACGACCATGACATCATATATATATATATATAAAAATGAGTGTTACTTTGTCACTGATTTCTCGCAGGCGGAATGTCCACTATTCAATGGGTATCAGCAATTTCCATATATATATTAAGAAATGGACATGGTCCGACAATTTATTTAAGACATTTTTTTTTATGTTTAACGTTGTTATTTATAGATACAAGTATTTAAGCAAATGCTCTGTTTATGATAAACAGTATTAAATAACATTTACCGGCCTGAATGTCCGAGAAATTTTCATAGAAAATATTTGTTCTTTGACAGTATTCGAACCTGCATCCTATACGGAACCGTCATTTACGCTGACGTGCCTTACCTCTGGGCCACAAAGAACCTTTTCGGTAGACAAGGTCGAATTTACTGCTTATAAACTTCAATCTTCCATGAATCTCGTACATTCATAACTGCTCTGGCGTATCAAATGTAATGGCCGGTAAATGTTATTTAATACTGTTTATCATAAACAGAGCATTTGCTTAAATACTTGTATCTATAAATAACAACGTTAAACATAAAAAAAATGTCTTTAATAAATAAATTGTCGGACCTTGTCCATTTCTTAATATATGACGTCATTTGTTTACATTTGATACGCCAGAGCAGTTATGAATGTACGAGATTCATGGAAGATTGAAGTTTATAAGCAGTAAATTCGACCTTGTCTACCGAACACTCCTTTGTGGCCGATTGTTAAGGCACGTCAGCGTAAATGACGGTCCCGTATAGGATGCAGGTTCGAATCCTGTCAAAGAACGAATATTTTCTATGAAAATTTCTCGGACATTCAGGACGGTAAATGTTATTTAATACTGTTTATCATAAACAGAGCATTTGCTTAAATACTTGTATCTATAAATAACAACATAAAAAAAATGTCTTTAATAAATATATATATATGAACATT